GCCAGCTGAAGTGCTTTAACGTCCTCTGACCAGCCACCTGATCGAGCCAACAGTTCGAATTGTGCATGGAAAGCCTCCCTGTCAGCTTTACCATTATATTTCGGGGTCTTCACCTGGGGCTGGTTACACAGAGCGCCGTCGTCGGTCCCCATTTTTCCAAAACCAGCATCTGCAGCTAGGCTCCTGGCCATCTGTTTCAGGTGGGCTACGTGTTCTGGAGACCGGTCAAATCCTCTCTCACGCCCCGGCGTCGCCGCATAACCACCATCCTGCAGTTCCTCCGTCACTCGCACCCCAGCCTGACTCCTCACCCGCCGCGCTGCCATCTAGTTAGGTGTTTATCAAGGCCCGATAAGCCGGAGGCTAAGGCTAATGGCAGACGTAACTCCGGCATTTCACTTCTGACACCAAATGTAGCGTCCTGCAGGACACAAGGGAGACAACCGTGAGTGCCGACGAATAGTCGCTTTTTTTATTAACTCCACCCAACCAGTTACTGTTGGCCGTAACCACGCCAAAACAACAGCCCAGCAACACCAAGAAAAAGAAACAACCTGCTAACACCCTCTGTAGCTCAAATCCCCTCCACCCTTCGCTCCCTCCTGCTCTCACACCTCTTAACCCCTGAAGCTCCACACCCATCAAGGAACCATAACAATTTAGAACATCATAACATGCCAAGTGAAGGATCACTACAATACTGTATATTCATGAAAGTGATATAAAATAAAATAATGGTTTCATCCTTTACTAAGCCTGACTCCTGTGAAAAATGTGGTAATGAAGTAGTGTAATAAGCGAGCAATGAGGTAATAAGTTACCTATTTGACCAAATACCAAACACATTTTTGTCTGTCCCACATAGCTAACTTAGTGTAAAGGGGTTGTAACCTGTGACTACAACAGAAGAGGTCACAGGCGGGACCAGAGCAGTCCTCTCCGGGAGGCACTCTGGATTCCACTCCGCTTTTTCCGAGTGTCCATGAACGAGCTCCTCGCAGCCTCTAGCTGGTTTTTACTCACCTCCTGTCCTGATATCACTCCGCTAGCATGGTGGAGAAGCGGACCTGATTATTGTGATGGTGGCAGGCGACAGCCTGTGACTACAGACTTCCGCCACTGCTTCCCATATCCGCGTTTTGCGCTGTCTGGGCTACTCTAGTTGCCTCACTGCCGGACTACCGAGGGCGCTTGCGCTCTTACCCCCAACTCAAGAACATCTTCACCGGGATTTCTTTCAAACCAAAACCATATGAGATGCAAGTTCATTGGGAAACTCCGGAGCCTCTTCGGTTCAGGCAGCAAAACTTTTTCTTAAAGGACAGCACAGTGAAACGGCGAGTGGACTGTTGTTGCTGCCGACGCCGCTGCTCCTCCGCGGGACGGTTTGTGTGTATATGACCGCCGAGTGCCTGCTAACGTTCATTACCTACACGGTGTTGTTTTTCCAGCCGAGTTGTTGTGGGTAGCAGCGTGGCAGCGGCTTCATTGTTGAATTCAGTTTGGGACTTGCTCGGCTCTCACTCAGGCTGGGTGTTTTTGGTTTGTTTGGAAACAGTGCCTAGGAGGGAAGAAGAGACGGTCACTCGCAAGCCCTTAACCGTATGACTGTTGGGCTCGCAGCCCTTTAAACCTTCCCTGTTGTTCCTCGCTCCAGCGGCGGTTGTCGGTCGTACCTTTCGTCCGCTCCCCGGCTGCTTGGCACGCTTCACCGGGAAGGACAGAGAGGGAGAGGACGCTAGGTGGTGGAGGTGGAGGAAGAGGTGGCCGGAGGATGTGACCCGGGCCGCCGGCAGCGGGGTGCCCGCCGCGGCGGTGGGCATACCTAAACACAGCACTGTGGTGGAGAGGCTGAGGCAGCGGATAGAGGGCTGCCGGAGACACCACGTAAACTGCGAGAACAGGTACCAGCAAGCCCATGCCGAGCAGCTGGAGATAGAGCGGAGGGAGACGGTCAGCTTGTACCAGCGAAGTCTGGAGCAGAGGGCCAAGAAGTCCGGCGGCAGCGGCAGCAGCAAACACCCGCAGAGCAAGCAGCCGGACCCGGACTCTGCCTCATCCACGGAGCAGAGGAACAACACGCTCATAGCGGTAAGGACGAGTTCTCAACACGGCTGACATAAACACAGTACACACTTAAGTATACCCTCCCTCTCTTTCCCCCATCCCTCCAAATTCTTGGACGTACATCAAGCTGCATTACTACTAGTAGTTCACCGCTATGAAAACTTGTTGGAAACACGCTAACTGCGCGCTGGCACTTGCTTTGGAAACACACACTTCACTTTTTCAAACCAGTGCCATCTAGTGCTTTTGTTACAAAGAAATCCAGCTCGTTGTTGAAGAAACACACTGACAGTCTTGACTGCTGAAATGTGATCTTTTGTAAGGTCAGAGCTTCTGCCTGTATCAAAGGAAAGTAGAAAGTTTGGAAGTGTTAATTTTTAGCTCAGAATCTTCTCACTAACTTCTGGAGGATGGCAGATTTTTTTTTTTTTGCATGAAACCTACTTCTCCTTTCTTCTTCTTTTTTTGGTGCAAATTGTTCTGCAAGACAGGCAAAGCATTAGCATTGCAACATTGCTTCCTTGCTCCTAGCAGCAGCAGCAGCTGCAGCTGTTTATGCTCCAGCCTGTTCTGTAACCTTTACTCTCAAGAATCAACAGCCAGTCCGCATGGTGTTGCAAACACCTAATCAAAGCCACCCCTCACTGACAGTAACCTGCGATCAGACTTGAAAATTACTTCAGGGGGCTGCCACAGTAGTTATTCAACATTTTTAATACTGTAAGCAACTTTTGAAGATTCATTCACAGAGAATCACACAAGATAAAACACATGGCACATTTTACAAGTATGAACTACTTGTATTACAACATCTATATAAATTGGCACCCTAGGAAATACAAATATTTTAAATCCAGGGCAGTCAGTATAAGCTCGTAGTAGATTTTATAGTTGTGCTACACTGATTTCCTGTTGGTAGGGGGCAGTGGTAAAATATGGAGTCTTGTTGAGGTTCTTATGGCTGTCCTATGAGGATTTTGGTTTTGAGTGTGAGCAGGTCTGATGAGCAGATCTTTAAATGATAGTGTCATTTTCAAAGAACATGTCCTGATGTTTGACTGTCATTGCTTGGATGAGATAAATGGAGACAGACACCAGCAAACTGCAGCGTCTTCTGTTCATACCATATCTCCTGTGGGCAGCCTCTAGTTTCCTTTAGAAAAGACCAAAGGATACATGTTAGGAATGTCAACATTGTTATCTGTTTTGTTGCTGCAATGAACCCAGTTCCTCTCCTTTTGAAATGCTAAATCTTTAATTTCTGAGGCAGCCTCAGTTGTTGTTTAAGGCCTGTGCAGGCCTGACCAGAGAGCAGCAGTGATTTTAATAGCGCAGGACCTCCCAGTGGCCCTTGTGGACATTAAAACTGAACCGCCCATTCGATGGCCGGCAACAAATGCTCAGAGAATAGAGGGATTACTGCTTAAAGACACAGTGGCATCCCTCTGCTCTGTCCGGCCCTGCTGCTCTCCCAGCCACAGATGGTGACACCTAAAACAGCAGCCAGTAGTGAAATTTCAGAGATCTGGGTGTCAGTATTCTTTTTTTGCTACATTGTAAGTTCTTGGCATTGTTTGAATTGTAATGGAGAAGGAACGAAACGAGAGTAAATTCTGCCGTCCATCTCCTGTTTTTCCTCAGAAGATCAGAGCTGCAGCTAGATGGCTGTATGTAGTCACTGCAGAAGTGTGTGAAAACCAAGTATGCTGTTGATGTCACTACACATGTTGCCTGCACGCATGCATACGCAGATACCCAGAGGGCTTTAATGTGTAGGAGTTTGGTTATAGACTGTTCTGGGTAGTATACTGTGTGAAGTAGGAGTGTTACCTGTAGTCATGTAATGATTTAGCTGGGATATGAGGACTTCACAACAAAGCTAAAATGACACAGTAATTCTGTGGCTTTGATATTTGTGTGGTGTAACACTGTTTGGTGTACAATATGTCAGTATGGTAATGATCAGTTTAAAGGATAATAGGAATGCCTACAAAAAAGTGCAAAAATAAATGGATTAAATTTGGGAAAATCGATGTTTTATAAGTGACACATAAGCAAGATAGTGTTTGACAGATTGGCAAGAAATTGGCCAACAAGTTATGATAGATTATAGTTATAAATGGGAAATAATAGACTTGTAATTTCATGGTTCACATAGTTTAAGAGTGGTATTCCTGCATTGTCATGTGCATCCCAGCACAGTCTGTCAGATGGTTCTCAGACAACCCATGTTGGGGCAGGGGCAAGCCTATAATTATGGAAAACATGTGTTTGTGTTTATAGACTAACTATTAGCAAGAAGGGAGAAGTAGACACGGAGAGCACGTTCAGTCTTTCCCACCATTTCTTTCACAGCATTCTCATAATTTGAGGAGTATGTCAGGGATCTGCAGAACATCAGAAGCAGTAGGTACATGTAACGGGAACCTGGGATATGAGATTCCTAGTGTAACAACGCACAGCTCATTTATCAGATTTGTGTGTCTGTTTTAATTAGTACATTGGTTCCGAAGCAGGCGTCAGTTGAATTTATTGCTAATATTCACTTTCACATGATGGACACTTCTAACTTGTAACCGTCTTATCATGAAAGGGTTTTTTACCAATCACCAGGCAGCCTTTCTGGTTTCTGCCGCCAGCCACGTATCATGTTGCATTAATAACGATGGCACAGTTGGAGGTTTTTGTCTTGTAGGAAAAAAATGTCTGCATGATTGATAAACTGTAGGCTGCCTTATACCTTCTATGTGGATAGATACTGTATGCTATGGTAATGGCCAGGACAGATGTTGTAATGGTTTAGGGCAAACAGGCGGTGTTCAATAATTATAGTTCCTTGAGGACTATCGAAGGTGTGTTGTTGGGTCCCTGTACACTGGACACACACTCACGGAATGCTCATGCACGTAACGTGGTCCTCAATTTGCATCCATGTCAACACAAAATTCACACTTGCCTAACTTATTCATTTATTTTACATTTATCAACTTCTTAGTGGACAGACAGTAAAACTAGAACTGCAACAATTAGTCAGAGTTGATTTAACTAAATGATTTGGCAACAATTTTGATAATCACTTAATTGTTTTTGTAATTTTTAAGCCCAAAATACTAAACATTTGTTGATTCCAGCTTATCAAAATGATAGATTGGTCCTTTTCTTTTCATTTATGATTACTACATGTGTTTTGGTCAGTTGACAAATCAAGTAGTTTGTCGCTTTGGCTCTGGGATATTGCGATTTTTGGCCTTTCATGGTCCAAATGATTAATTGCTTAAAGTTGCAGTATGTAGTATTTTTTTAAATATTAATTTTGCAGAAATATTTCCCAAAACCTATCTTAATGGAGAGAGGTGCTCTCAATGGTTCATGTGACCCCAGACCCATCAAGAGATATTCCCTTCTGAAGGTTTTTGACTGGGATGACATTTTCTAACCAACCAGAGAAGGCCATCGTCATAGCTGTCAATCAGTAGGTGACTTACTATTGGAACCATGACAGTGTGTGACTGGTTTGGCATTGATTCTAGTCTCATGCTAACCCTAACTTGATATTAAAATAATACAAATTGTAGCTTTAATCTAGAAAGTAATTGCCAGATTAATTGAAAATAAAAAACAATAGCTCTTTTTCAAAACAGATATTTTGGCAGGTCATAGGTGGAAAAAGGTGTAATTGATAACATTAATGATGCCTGCATTCCATTTATGTGAGGATCTTGGTATGCCGAGTGTCTTTGTTTATTGGGACACTTACAGTTGAAGTCAGAAGTTTACATACACCCTAGCCAAATACATTTAAACTCAGCTGTTCACAACTCCTGACATTTAATCCTATAAACATTCCCTGTCTTAGGTCAGTATGTGAAATGTCAGCATAACAGTAGAAGAAAAGATTTATCTCAGCTTTTATTTCTTTCATCACATTCCCAGTGGAGGTTTACATACACTCGGTTAGTATTTGGTAGCATTGTCTTTATATTGGTTAACTCGGGTCAAACATGTCAGGATGCCTTCCACAAGCTTCTAAGAATAAGTTGCTGGAAGTTTAGTCCATTCGTCCAGACAGAACTGGTGGAACTGAGTCAGGTTCGTAGGCCTCCTTGCTTACACACTTTTTCAGTTCTGCCCACAAATGTTCTATTGGACTGAGGTCAGGGTTTTGTGATGGCCACTCCAGTACCTTGACTTTGTTGTCCTTAAGCACCCCCACCACATGATGCTGCCACCCCCATGCTTCATGGTTGGGATGGTGTTCTTCAGCTTGCAATCCTCCTTCTTTTCCTCCAGACATAACGATGGTCATTATGGCCAAACAGTTCAATTTTTGTTTCATCAGACCAGAGGACATTTCTCCAAAAAGTAAAACCTTTGTCCCCATGTGGAGCTGAAAACCATCGACTGCCTTTCCTATGGTGGTCTTAGAGCAGCGGGTTCTTCCTGGCTGAACAGCCTTTCAGGTTGTGTTGCTATTGGACTTATTTTACTGTGAATATAGATACAACATTTCTCCAAAAAGTAAAACCTTTGTCCCCATGTGGAGCTGAAAACCATCGACTGCCTTTCCTATGGTGGTCTTAGAGCAGCGGGTTCTTCGTGGCTGAACAGCCTTTCAGGTTGTGTTGCTATTGGGCTTATTTTACTGTGAATATAGATACATTGGTACCTGTTTCCTCCAGTGTTGTCACAAAGGCCTTTGCTGCTGTTCTGGGGTTGATTTGTACTGTTTGGACCAAAGTATGTTCATCTCTAGGAGAGAGGATGCGTCTCCTTCCTGAGCAGTATCATGGCTGTGTTGTCGTGGTGTTTATATTTGCATAGTATTGTTTGAACAGATGATTCATTTGGAAATTGCTTCTCAGGATGAACCAGACTTGTGGAGGTCCATAGTTTTTGTTCTGAGCTCTTGGCTGATTTGTTTAGATTTTTCCATGATGTCAAACAAATAAGCACTGAGTTCAAAGGTAGGCCTTAAAATACATCCACAGGTGCACCTTCTATTGACTCAAATGATGTCAATTAGC